AGGTAATAATAAATTTGGAATATTTATAGCCTTTGTTTATTTTATTTTATTTTTTTTACCTTTTTAAAGTTTATATATTTCTTCTAAGAGAAAGGCACTCTCAGCGGGGTCCTCCTGCCATGATCCACTCCCTGTCTTTGCCCCCCCAGGGTCCCAGGTGTGTGTGCCAGCCTGGCCTGTACAGAGAGGCCCCCAGGACCTTCCCACAAGACCTCAGTATGGTGTCACATCACAGCAGCTGGCTGGCATTTATTTTGAATGTGATGTATTTAACTGTGCTTTAAGTGAATAAGGGAAGTTGTACAGTATTGCTTCCATATAGTCCCATTTGTGTAAATAAAACTTTTCACTTCATCTATGTGGATGAGTGTTTGATCCAAGAGAGAAATTTTAAAATTGGTTACTTCAGAGAGACAGGATTAAAAGGGCAAAGAGACAGATGATCTTTTTCCTATTATACCTGTCTATTGTTTGATTTTTTTTTTTAGAACCATCCTATTGTGTTTTATGATAAAAATAATTTACAGCTTTTTAATGGGGAACTCAGCTTAGGGGGTGAGAAAAGACTCTTCCATTAACTACTAGTTTTCAGAGTTGGGAGGAATTGCAGTCATTGTGAAGATTGAGGGATGTTCAATGCCTCGTCTTGAAATGAGCTCATTTGTTTGTTTACTTGTTCATTGTCTGTCTCTCCTGCTAGACAGGAGTTGGTGCCCAGGAGTTATGGGCCTCCATTATTGCTCCCTAAGTTGTACTGTAGCCTCCTAACCCAGCCCATGCCTGCTTTTGCTGTCTACAGTTGTCGTTGTATACTGAGACTGGGGATTCATGGCACAGAGATTAAGGTGCCTGGATCCCACGTTGCTGACTTGTGGTTTGAGTCCTGGGCCTGGTGACTTGAAAAAAAAAAAAAATGCTGGGTGCATGTGTGTGCGTGCCCAAAATCCCAGGAGGAACATGGAGGAGAAGGGACTGCAGCATGACAGTCCTCCAGGTAGGCAGGTGCTTTCTCCCTTTCTTTCTCCTTTCTCTGTCTCTCTCCAGCCAGCGCACGCACCCTACGGCAAAGCTTAAATGCATACATATGAAAGAAGAAATAAGAGTTGACTGACTCACAACGCTAGTGGCTGGAAAGTCCAAGGGAGGAAGCCTGGCATCAGGCCAGCCTGCAATGTGGCCGATGGAAGCCCAGGCTATGTCAGGGACATGCAGCGAGAGAGCAGCTTGCTCTCTCTCTTCTATAGTGACCAGTTCTGCAGAGAACTAACTCCTTTGCCCAAGATCTAAAACCTACTGGGTCTTGGGACCAGCAGTTAGCATAATGGCTATGTTGCTGGACTCCCACATAGTGAACCGCGGTTCGAGTCCCGGACCCGGTGGCTTAAAACTCACGCTAGGTGCATGTGCGTGTGTGCCCAAGATCTCGAGAGGAGAATGGAGGAGAAGGGATTGCAGCATGGCCATCCCCCCTGGGGGGTGACTTCTCGCTTTCTGTCTCTCTGTCTGGCGAGCACATGTGCCCTATTGCAAAAACCTCTAAAAAAAAAAAACCACTGGGTCTTAGGAGACATCATGAATTTATTTACTCTCAAAGAGTGCTGCTTCCATGGTGTAATCACCAGACACTCGGCCTTGCCACCTCTCAACATCAAATGCCAGAACATGAAACTAGGGGGACAAACCATCAGTCAAACCCTAACACCCTCTATTTAGTTTTGCTGGGGCTGCAGTCACTAAGCACCTCAGACTGGGTGGCCTAAAACCACAAAAATGTTTTATATTAGAGTTTTGGAGGCTGGAAGTCTGAAATCAGGTGGTCACAAGTCCCCTGTCTCTGAAAGTTTCTAGGGGTGATTTCTCCCTGACCTCTTCCTGCCCCTGGTGGTTTCCCGGCAGTCCTCGGTGTTGCAAACCAAACTTAGTCTCTGCCTTGGTGGTCACATGGTATTCTCCCGTCATGGCGGACCCAGGACCCATCTTCTCCAGGTTGATATCATCTTAACTAATTTCATTTATGATGACTTCATTTCCAAACAAGATTACATTCTGAAGTACTAGGAGTTAGGACTTAAATAGATCTTTTTGGTGGGTGTGGGAGAGGTGGGCACAGTTCAACAGACATCATCCTCTGGTAGCCTATTTTCCAGACAAATGCCAGAGTGTTTTGTTATTGCTTTTAATTGCCAGAGGTCAAGCATGACTAAGAAAAAGAGAGAGAACCCTCAGTGGGGCGTGGTCATACTGCAATTCTTTTTTTTTTTTTTTCATACTGCAATTCTTTTTCCTCCATTTCTCCCATCAGGATTTGGGGCTCTCATGCATGCGCGTGTACTTGTCATGTTTCTTAAGCTGCGGAGTCGGGCTCCATGTGCGCAGTGCTTAACCACTGCACTACAGGGCTCCCTCTGCTCGAGAGATCTTTAAAATATGTTAGTTGGATCACTGTCCTGGCTTCTCATCACACAGGGAATAAAATCCAGACGAGGACCGGCATGCCATTCTTCATCTGGTCTCCGCCTCTTTTTCTATCCACAGATCCTCCCATCCTCTGTTTTACCACTCCGTGCCAGTCACACTGATTTTCTTCCTCTTCATTTATTTATTTATTTGAGAGATTTTGGCCATAGGGTGCATGCACTTGCTAGAGAGACAGAAAGCAAGAAATCACCCCGCCCCCCCGCCCCAGGGAGGAATGGCCATGTCACAATTCCTTCTCCCCCATTCTCCTTTCACGATTTTGAGCACACACGCACATCACCCGGGACTGGAGGTCGACTACACGGGAGTCTAATGACATAACCGCCATGCCATTTGCTGGTCCCCACACTGACTTTCTATGCGCAGAGCAATGCTCTTCCTTTGGGGTGTTTGCTTTCCTTCCCCTGGAAGGCATT